CCTACATACCTACATATGCATAAAACACACACACATACATACATAACTACACACGTAGGCACATACATACATACATACGTACCTACATACATACATACGTACATACATACATACATACATGTATGCATACATGGACATTACTTACGTGTGTACATGCACATACGCTCATGCAACCATGCATGCGCATAATAATAAATGAGCAAGGCACTCAGTCTCAGCCGTGTCTGTGTCTGTCTGTGAGTCTGAGTGTGCAACGAGAGCACACAAACACATACATAAATGCCTACTACCGTACATGCATATACATATGTAATATTATGTACTGCAGCGCGATGTTTCGACCAGTTGACGACTGGCCGTGAACCCGTGGTTGCACTCTGCAAGATCGAAATTGAAGCAAAGGCTCATCACGACCCGGCTGACCTTCTGCTGCCCATGTACAAGGTTGACACCTGACGCCGGCCGCCCTCTGATCTCAACCCCGAGCAGGCTTCTGCGGAGCCAAGATCTAGAACGTGCCATGTTTTGGCATACATCGAACTGTGAAGAACCCCGCTTGCTGTTGGTCTGCTGTATTTGTTCCCCTGCCCGCTACTTCGGAAGCAACTATGCGTGCCCACCTAGGCGTCCTTTCGGAAGCGTTTCCATGACGATGGTAACCTGGCGTCCCATGAGTTCGGGTGGAAAGCAACAGAAGCATAAAATAACAAACATGAGAAAGATGTCATGACCAAGGCTGTGCTTGCACATCGTTGATCCTTGTGGCCCATGTTGACTTTGCCATACTTTGTCAACTGCAAAACAGCACACCTGGACAACCGGCCCAAGACGTCTTGGAAACCCTCGAAGCTTCCTTGCCACCTCGTCGATGGATGCAGCCGCGGCACGGTCTTGTAAGCTGGACTCTCGCCAAGTCCAAGTCCCGTTGTCCAGGTCAACCCTGTCGTTCAGAATGAACCAACATGTGCATGTATTGACCGCAGGAATGCACGACTACGTGTGTATTCGCACATACATTTCATGCAAGGCACAACCACATACGTGTGAGAATATATATATATACATATGCGTGTATATACATACATACATACATACATACATACATATATATATATGTGTGTATCTATATAGATGCTCATGCCCGTGAATGCATACACATATCATCTAGAGCATGGGCTGTGGAAATAGATCAAATCGAACCTACAAAGTAGAAGCTCCTGGCATGAAAGTTCAGGAGCCTGAATTCGAAAAGCACGAGCGAAGCAACGCTCAGATTGACATACGCTGGCAGGCCTGTCTGCTCGTCCACGCGCGATACACGGAGCCTGCCACACTATTACGCTTGTTGCTAAATCTGTCACTGCATCACGTGTTGGGAGCCTGGACGCCGTGGAGTGAACGACATGCTCTATCAATTCGAGGCACGAAGCTTTGAAGGAAATGCTGCGCTACAGTGCTACAGCTCCACCTGCTTGGTCAAAAACGACTAGAAGATTGCATGCTGCTTCGCGTGTGCACCAACATCCTCGTCGGCCCGGAATGCGGCAGCAGTCGTTCGAGAATAAACCTCATTGCGCGATAGGCTTGGTGGGTACGAGTCAGCTCAACAAAAACATGCCTGAAGCAGACTCTTGGCACACTGAGAAGTGTCCAAGCGGCATGAAGCCGGAGAGGCCCAGAAAGGCGCACAAGGTGACTCCCAGCAGGGCCATAGCTCTGCAATGTCCGTGCAGGCTCTACTGCTGCGGATGCTGGGTCTACTGTAGAACAGCAAGAGTAAGAGGCTGTGAATCGCCAGTAATTTCAGCAATCGGAATACACATGCCGTGTTAGTGGCGTAGCACTACATAGTACTCAGCTGTGGTCTGTGGCAAAAGCCCTTGCCGCAGAATGCACCTCAAAGCTTTCAACACATCTGTGGGCTGTGGCCGAGCGGTCAAACCTGCATTCACTGGTGCGGTAGTCATTCTGACCAGCTGTCCGAGACTGCATTGCTTGGATCTCTCCTCGACAGGTCTTGTCATGTTAAGATCTGGCATGCAAATTCTATGTGCTCCCGCAGCTTGAGACGCACAAGGCCCACACAGTAATCTTGTGCAGCGATCCGCTGATGCCGCTGCTGCTCAACTAATCGGAAGTCGCGAAAATGCTCGTCACGTGAATTACGCCTGCGTTATTTCGTGGCAATTCAATCTGCTGCAGGTCCGCTGCGTGAAGCACCTGGGACACCCTGTCTCCGGACCACGCGGTGCCCTTCGGCCTGTGGTTGGCTGCCTTGTACACGGGCCATCACACTGTGCCAATGCTTCATGCAGGTCATCTTTTGGGGTCCGAAGCACTGGAGAGGCGGCGCACGCGTGCTGACGAATGCCTGGTAAGGAAAGGCAGGAACGGTTCAGGACTTACACACGGCAATACAAGTTGTCAACTAACTGCTGGATTTTTTCGATCTCATTCATATATGCACTGGCGCACCGAGACTTCATTACAGCTGCGCTGAAGAAGGTTCTGGCACACACGTGGTGTCAAGGAAGATTAAGGAACCCGTCCAGCTGCTCTGGGCCATACCCCAAAGACAAAGCAAAAGCCAAAGCATCTCTAAGTTCCGTGCTTGGCCCACAGCTGCATCTGCCATTGCCATGTCGCGGGCTTGAGTAACGATCCACTCTAGAATCTGCAAGAGGTACTTAAATGAACAGGGGCAGCCATCCATCAGCTGCAAAAGGTGACTGCTCTGATTCTGCGCGCTCCTTGAGTTTTCCAGGCTCTCATGTCTCCAGATGCTGTTGGAAAATCACTCCAGAGCCGGCCGCATCAGAACGCGAGAGACGCCTTTTGCTGCGGCACTTGGCCGTCCGTATCATGGGTGTAATGAGGGGAGCACAACTTCACTTTGGCATCGTCTCCCAACCTGCAGACACGATTTTGCAGATCAATTAGCAACTCCGGTCATGGGTGAGACTTCAACTTTGTAGGGGGGATTTTGGCAATCTGTGCGACATGTCTCGCCGCAATGTCTGAAATTGACAGAACCCTCTGATGAGTAAATCATGCTTCGTTCCTTCTTGTGGCCGCCCTCTTGCTGAAGAACCCGCAGAGGCCACAAATGTCACCAACCGAATATTTTTCGCATAGCTGAGATCTACAAAGACTTAGCATTAGCATAGAATAACGTCAAATTAACTTAGGAATCGGATGGGCTTGCAACAGCCATTTCAAGCCGGCGACATCTCACCGCAATGCCGCCACCGCTTGCTTCCAGCCTCCCGCACACCCGGCTTGCTGGTTCGGGGTGGGGCGGCCCGGGGGGGGGGGGGACGGGGGTGCATCCTTGGTTCAACTGGTCTCTTCCTCCCGCTCCGCTCATGAGGACCTTCGACCACCCAGACCAGATGTCACTTGTGTTTGCCTCACGCCTTGCTAGGACGAACCTTCGATGCAGGGTAACGGCTGTCAGAACAGAGCAGAAAGCGGCAAGATCTCACGGATCCAATTTCAGGGATATAGGTTTCAGAACCACCCTAGAGCCTCACAGGGACACACGGAATTCTTCGATGCGCCAGAGATTCCCGGCAGGCTGAAGCTCCTTAAAACAGTGCCAGGCCTAGTCGCATGGCAGGAAAGATCTGCAAAGTCGTCATCTGACCGCCCAAGCAAAACTATGCTTCAACAACCTGTGGCCCGATACAAACTAAAACTTTACAGACACTCCGAGCACCGAAATTGGCTTGCATTCAGTCTTCATTTTCGGAGGCCTGCCCCGGTCCAAGATGACATTTTAAACGCTCCTATAATCACTTTCGGGTTGTAGATGTTCACACTACTTGAGCGCAGGAAACACTCTAAATCTCACGTCACTCCACATGCATGTCGGGAGGTTGGGGTCATCTGGCTGCAATCAAACGTGATGCTGAACTCCAAGAAATTGTCCTAATCTGGCGGACCGTCGCAGCTGCTATGAAAACAATCTGGAAAAGCCTCTGCGCTGAGGCTTCAAACGCGTTTCGGGTAGGCAACGATGCGTCAACTGCTTGACTCTGCCACTCCGCGCTTCAGAAGACCGAGGATGCCTCAAACGTAGCACGTGCTTGAGAAAACTTTTCTGAGTTCTCGAATGGAAAAGACTGCGGACAGGAAGCAGCAGAAAGCATGCGAAGATGATGCGGTGTCTTTTGACCTCTACCCGGCACCCTTTAGAAAAGTCATCTTCTTTGTTGGGCTTTTGAAGCCGCGGCACTTGAAAGAGCTACACCCGGCTGCACGGGTCATCATCAAACCACGGCATCTGCAGCAGGGGAGTGGCAGGAAGGACCCACACTCAGGCGTTTCATTTGCTCACAGGCTGAGCTCTGCACGGCCAGCCATTCCCATGCCAGCTGACGTTCGGATGACAACCTTGGATACAGGGGCAGGGTGTCAGGGCCGCACGGATGCCTCATGCGAAAGAAAGAACACAGTTGCTGGTGGCCGAAGTACGAAGCTCTCTAGAACTGCCAGACATGTAGAAGCATCGGACCATGCCTCGTAGCCTCTCTGAGCATTATCCAGGCTGTTCAGTTTGCTGGCATCTCTGCCCAAGATTTGTTTCTTCTTCTTCTTCTTTCATCTCGCTTCTCAGTTTAGCTCTCAGACTCGGACACCTCGTTCCCCGTAGCTTTGCAGCCTGGATCATGAACCATCCCCATCTATGCTAACTGCATGTGCATACTCGTCCTGGCACCTCACGATGCAGTGTAGAGCCAACTGTGCGGACCAAGCCACCATCCATGCTTTACGGCTCACGTCTTCAGGTGCTGCCACCATGATTTGCCTGAGGCTGTGGCAGCGGGGTCGTGCTGTTTTTCAGACTGTGCCAGTCCACTTTCGGTTAAGCTGAGCAGGGCTTTCGCACTCAGCCAAGGGCTGCTCCTTGCCAGCACCATCTGTCCAACGCAGCCTCATCCTCAGCACTGGGGCACCCACCGCGCACATTAAGCTGCTCAAACTCCGACCAGGTCTCGGATAGAGCTTCTCCGGCAATGTCTTTACATTCAGGCCCTCAGTGGCACGTGGTGGGTGGGAGGGCTTCACTTCGAAACTTTTCCAGCGAAAGTATAATGGACCAGACTCATTCTGCATGGGTATACCCTTTTCTGCTAGCCGCCGCGAACCGCACGATGGGGACTTTGTCCGCCATCATGAGCTGCTCTCTTCGGCAGTGGCGTTCGTTTGGTTTAAATAGAGTTCTTGCCTATTGTGAAGAACGGTGCAGACTGTGTTTGTCAAGTTCTGCGTTCTTTCCTCGTCCTCTTCATGCCAGGGCGAATCGGGAAGCAACATGTTGGCCTCGCGAAAAAACTGAAGCAATTTGCGGCCAACCTTATGGCAGTTTTGCTGCAACTGGGCAATACCGATCCGCAGAATGGGCACCTGCATGTTGTTGAGGGTCTCGAGGTTTGTGTCTATGACATTGTTGAAAGCTTCTTGCTGCGCTTCGCAGGCTTTGAGGTTGTCCTCGCACAGGCTTGGCCAGCGCTTGAAGACTGACCTGGCGCAATCGCTTAAATCACGCTCGTAGCGAATAACCGCCTTCTTGCTCACTCCAGCAGAGTCCAACATCTGGTAGAGACCGCTCAAGTCGAAGAGTCTCGAGTCTGCAGACCGATGATGAAACTTTGTTGGGAAGCTGTAAGCTTGTTGAATCAAATCTCCGGATTGGTGCTGCAGAAGTGCTTCGTGAAAGGCCGATGCATCGTTTGCCATAAAAGCATTGAAGACATCTTCGCCGCCCACAAAAGTAGCCTGGCTGATGTGGCGAGCTGGACCCACCCCTTGGAGGTCCACAAGAGTGATGTTCATCACCTTGCGCAAGACCGGAGTCAGCAAATGATGCCCCGACCCCTCGGTCCCAATAAGGGACAAGAAGCGGATGTCATCAGCTTGCTTCTGGCCAGATACGCTTTGCTCCAGACCTTGTCGTGCAAAATTGTGGACGATGGCCACTGCTGGCATCACCAATACCAGAGTCAAGCTGCGCACACTCCCATGCCACTTCATTCTGCACCTGCTGCTAGTTCATGTCTGCACTTGTTTCGCTACCGGGGGTTGGGCCAGAAGCTGCAAGCACGCGGGTACGCGGCTAGACTCAGTGAGCCAAGCTTGGCAACTCGCTCGACTCTGGTTAGGCACTGAACCGTGGACAGAGTACCTGCCGGCTCAAGACGTTTTACGCAGCAAGTGAAGGTGCAAGATCCTATGCCGAACCATACCCGACAGTCTTGCGCAACGAAATCACGGAGGAGCATGCGATACCAGGAGCATGAAGTATTCTTCGGCTACCCAGCCGTGACTCGTAGTTACTTACAATATATTGTAAGTGTTGCCTCCTTAGTGACTGACCGCTGTAAAGTTTAAAGCCTCTGACATCCTCCGAACAAGCAGTTGACCATCGTGCATCCATGTCACCTGCCCACCAAAGAAAGCAATTTCGTATTGCTTGATGTTGTTCATTGTGCCTCATGGAAGTCATTACACCCGACCGGCACAGGGGAGCATCTTCTGAAGTCAACTCATCCTCCAAATGCTTGCTGATGAGGTGCTGTACGTCATATCATCAGCAACCTCGGTGATTGTATGGCTCGGTCCGGGTCTTCTTAGCGACAGTGACGCCGCATGATGCCGTCCTCGCTGCTGCAAAGAGACCGGATCGAGCACCACTTCTGGCAGTGCCTCGAAACGCAGGCCCGAGGCAAAATACTGAACGCTCCAGTACAAACATGACCATTCTCATGGAGCAGTGTCCATGCTTTATGCTCGGGCCGCCTCATGCTTGAGATCAGGGGGAGCTTTGAACAGCGGGCTACTGTGTAGCGGTAAAGAGACAGCTCTGCATTCCTGTGCATCGGCATACCGGTCCCAGGCAATTTTGGGGTCAAGCAGAATGGAACAGCATTGCTGATGCTGGACCTTTGGGGTGCTGATCCCGGAAAGATCCCCTCCATGCTCCCTCCCGTCCCATCGCTCCTCGATCTTCTGCAGCCTGGAAAGGGACTTTGTGCCTGCGAGAGGCCAACCAATAAGCACAGTCCCGTGGACAACTTTGATTGCCGAAGTCTGGCATGTAAGAGTCCGGTCCACGAGAGATATTGTTCGAAGCCCTGAATCTTCTAGGAGGTCTTAGCAACTGACATTCGTTTGGGTTTTGGGTCTTGGGTACTGTCGAATCAAATCAAAGTCTGGCGGCTGCAGGCAATTTGCTTATCACCAGCGCCCGCCGTGTACTAGTTTTATGCGCGCACTGGCCTTTCTTCCTGCCGCGTAGCATTGCCCTTAGACGCAAGATCAGGGTTTGCCAGATCAGGGCTAACGTTGGACAAGTGGGATCCCATGAAACAGTTCCTGCACGGACTTCCAGCACGCTGTGCTGACTGCAAGCAAATGCTGCAAGAATCATTCCGAAGGCATCCGGTGCTAGTGCAAGGGAGCAGCCCGGGCACCATCAGGCCATCTTCTTTTTCCGAGAGATACCTCGGTGCATTGACAAATGTTTCGACAGCTAGTTCCCAAACCATCTGAATGCCAAGTAAGCAGCATCATAGCCACGCCACCTCAAAGCAGCCACAGGCATTGTCGGCATGGCCAGCTATGTTGGATGATTCACCCTCCAGGACTCCATCACCCTGTCCGGTCTGCTGTCTTTCGTCTCAGAATATGGCCCGATGCAGGCCCTGACAAGACCGTACGCCTTGTGATTCAGATCCGTGCAACTCCGGCTCGCGAGAAAGAAAGACAGCGGCCTGATTCCTTCTGATTGCGAGTCTAGCTCGCATCCCTCCAGCTTTTCGGAAGCACTGCATAGTTAACATCATGAGACAAGGCACCTTCTCCATCCTCGATTAGAAACAAGCGCCGTCGCCAGCTCCTTGGACCATCTGGGACACAGGTAACACGATAAAGAAATCGGGCCGCGATTCCCGACACATGCCCCCAATCCAGGTGAAATGGTGCCATCTCGGTGGTTTGGGACTCTGGCAACGACCCAACTGTTTCAAACGCTTGGGTTGCATGATCTGCCCCGAAGGCCTCACAAGGAATTAATGACTCAGGCACATGACCCCACTGCTGAGGTCCATCCGGCTCGGACCCTTGCAATGTCCACCAATGGACTAGCAGGGAGTTTAGCCCTGAAGATTCCCTGGATACTGGACTCGCCAACATTGCCAAAATTCGATCCAAATTTCTTCATCAATTACGAGATGGACGAGCCACGAAGCAGATGTGCGAACTCGTGAAATGCACAGAGCTAACCAAATCTGACCGCATTCTGCTACCAGTCCTGTCTCATGCCAAAACCCATAGCCCATCCCATAGCCCTGGATGCACTGCACAGCCTTTTCGCTCGAGCTGACATACAAAAACGGTGACCTGACCCCTGCTAAGCTCCACCAGGCTCAGGCAAGTCTCGATATCTGCCTGAGGTTCCGCGCCGTGGGTTCGACATTGTTGTTCAGCTTCCACATGTGACCTGTGCTAGAACTTCCGCCTGCTGGCAACATCTCTTCGGCGAAAGTCTCACACCTGGAACCCTTTGAAAGTCTGGCGAACAAGCAAAATCCAGGCTCAGTCCGTGGAATCATCTGCAGCATCAAACCTAACCCGAGTGCTCCACAAACCCAAGGTCTGAGACATGCTGGCTACTAGTTGGACCCGAACGAAGCCAGAAGGATAACGCGAACAAGCAGCGAGTCCTTTCCTTATGCGTGGCGCGGTGAATCACCCACATTCCGACCCGCATCAACTGAAATCAAAGGTTTCCAGAAGCACGGGCTGGCATAATCAAGAGTTGTGTCGATTGTTTGATACCTCAAGCTGAGGGCCAGGCCCGTGAGCCGGCCTTAGAGAGCAGGATGTGGCAACATGTGTAACACGGTTTGGGAGGGGTTCTACTGATCTAATTACTCCATCCAGTCGCGGGCTGCAGGGATTTGGCGTTCGGACTCTCCCGACCAGGTTTCCAACCATTGTGAAAGAAAATTTCGCCCCATCTAGTTCCGAATGCAGAAAAGCTTCCGCGTATTCGGACTGGCTTGTCTCCAGGGACGAAAGATGGCGACATCTTCATCTTGGATGGGCTGCCGAGCATCAGCTCTAGAAGCTTGCCAACACCTGGGCTGACGGGAGATGGCTTTCAGGCTTTGGTGGTGAAGGTGGTCGACCGCCCGCGGTCACGGCCTCAACTTCGAAAAATCGCAGCCGTCTCTACAGGTAAGCAACATAGCGGCAAAGCTGCATGAACGCATTAGATTCAGGTTCTTCAACCGGATTGTCGGTCTTCTGTGGCGACTACGAATGTGCAGGAATCTCCGAAAGCGTTCACAAGCCTGCAAACCAAACACGAGGTCCAGGTGCCCTTTCCGCAGCAGCATTCTGCCGGCTTCGCCTTGCCTTTGCGGAGTTGGGATTGCCGCTTTTTAATGCTGCCGTATGGTCCGAGCCATGCATTGCAGTTCCGATCGCTTGTTCAGGCGTCCCCAGATTATGTGTGCAGCTCTCCAGCGGCAGCACGGAGTCGAGTCCAGTCTGCAGCAGCTGCGAGTTCAAAGTGCTTGGCAGAGGAGCCGAGTTCAACAGGCACGCGAGGCTTTAGGCCCGTGACAACCTCCAGCAAATAATCGGCTTACAAATGGCTTTTGCATTTCGGCACCCTCTGCAACGAGGGGTAACCCCCCTCACAAACACCCACCACTAGGGCAAGCAGCCGACAAGACCATCGTCAGCATCCTTCTTGATGTGCTGATGTTCGACAGCCTTTGTAAGAGTGCTTCAGACTTCAGCGGAGGCTCACGTGTGATGGAAGCGTTGTTCACCAGTAGACCCGTGTGTTTGGAGTGTGCTTTGAGAATGTTATAAATGACAAACGTTTTGCTCACACACATACATACATACATACATACAGACAGACAGACAGACAGACAGACACAGACACACACATAC